GGGAGGCCTCATGAAGATCATTTAACATTTAAAAAGTCACAATTTCTGTAGCTAGAATATGTCATTTGTACATATTTCCTATTGAATTAAACATCTCATGACCACTAAGATTTTTCTTGTGACCACTTGGTCAATTTTTTGCCAACAAGTCTCCAACCCCGACCACAAAAGCTGGTCACCAAAATGACATATATCAACATTAACGGGACAGTTTTAAACACATTGTGAAAACAGTCGTGGTTAGGTTTAAGCAACAAAACTACTTGGTTAGGTTAAAACAAGTATCTAACTTAATGTTACGTGCATTATGTAAGCTAAGTAAATCATGTGACATAAGCTCAGTACATTACATAACTTATGTATGTCAGTTAAAATAACTCAACATTGACTTTTGGTTTCACACTGGACACAAACAGCCATCTCCTGGGTGATAATCTTGTTTGTTTGACCCATCATCCACCCTAAATTCTTCCCTACATGGACTTTGTTGCTCCTTACACTGCACCACATGACTTCCTCCTTTGGTCCACGATTACTCCAGTTACCAGAGGTTGCAGCCAATAAATGTAAATATGGTTCATAATAAGCTGCTTGTTAAAAAGACTTACATTGACGTATTCTGGGAGAGAACAGCCTCATTTCTGCATTACCACCTAGTCTGTGCTCCTGAAGCCAGAGGGAGAAAATAAACACAGTAAATCGGTGCACAGCAGGACCCATAATCTCAGACTGATCAGGATCAGTAACAAGGCCTGGTGGTTCACCACTGCACCCGCGATGAGATCCAGACACTCACATTTGTGTTCACGATTTGTTTATTTGTTACCAGGCGTAATGTAAACAAGTGCTGTGGACAGACAGAGCAGGTTCTTGTGGGACTAAACAGGCCTGTGTGGAGATCAAATCATAGATCAAATCAAAACCAAATCATAGACAGAGTGGACGAAGGCTGAAACACTGAGCAGAGGATTAACATGAACTCATTTCCAGATGGGGGGAGAAAAAAAAGGTCAAATAGTTTTTTTGTTTGTTTTTAAATACACATATGATGAATAGACAAATGGTGTTAACTGTAACTTTAAAACTGGATAATTATCTTTGTCCAGTGTTGGGGAGTAGTTAGATACATGTTCAGTTGCAAGTTTAACTACAATTTGCAGTAGTTGGGTGGCGGTTAAACTATATTCAAATCTCTGTGGCCTGTTCAGTAGTTAACTTCTTTGGGTCATGTAGTTTATGTAGTTTATTTCAAACTACATAATCATATTATTCTAATCTTGCTTTTCTTGCCATACAATATGGCACCATGCCATATTGTGGCTTATTGGCCACAGGTCTACTTTTTGACTAAAATCATTTCTCATTTGCTACCAAGGTGTCTGAGATCAAATACTATGAATTTTCCTGAAAGTTTTGCATTTTTCAGATTTATGCCTCATTTACACCGCAAGCGATGCGCTCGTGTAGCGCTCGTGTAGCGCTCGCGAACGGTCGCTGTTTACTTCAGCGAGCATGTTAACAGGTTACAGCATTCACACCACATCCGTTCTACGAGCTGCTCGAGTCGTGCTGCTTTCACGCGCAAATCGGCGTCTCTTCTATTTTTGAATTTGCGCTGCTTTCACGCGCAAATTCAAAAATAGAAGAGACGTCGATTTTTTGTGCAAGTCGCGAGCAAATGGTTGCAGTATTCAACAAAACCTGTGACCTCTCTCTGCCACCATAGACTTCTCCCCCTTGACCAAGCGAGACCTGACAGGCACATGTTTCATGTACTTACCCATTTGTAGTGCTAAATATTAATTCTCCAAGCATTGGAATAATCACTGGCACGCAAACCTGTCCACCCTGGGCTTTGGGTCCAAACTCACTTCTTCCTCTATAGGGTTCACTGGAGATTTGCAAACACGGTGCCCTACCGTCACCAACTGTTTGGGTGTGGGTTGTATTTTGACAGGACAGCAGCGGCCGTTGCGCGACACGTCTGTTAGGTTCTGGTGTGAATACACGTGTGCTGCTGCTACGCTTGTGGACCGCTGCGTGAGTGCTACGCAAACGCATGGCCTGCGGTGTAAATGAGGCCTTAGCCTCAACAGTGGCTCCCGATGCTCTCCTTTAAACACATCCTTGGGTTGCTAAGTAAGTAAATAGTCACCAGCACCTACACTTTACTCTGTGTCAGTTCACTTGCATCTCTGTGCAATGATATGAGATTCAAAACTCAGATTGTGATCTTTTCCCGTGATGTAGTTTGGATGTAGTTGATCTGCTTTTTGAAAGTAGTACTTTGACAACCTAAAAGTTTTTGAGAGTAGTTAGGATGTAGTTTGACTTTTCATTGTAAAGTAGCTAGTTAGGTAAACTACAGTTGTAGTTTTTCCAAACACTGGCTTTGACTGTTCATGGTTTACTGTGAGCAATGATGGTTTGTTTCTGTATTTGTTTATTTTGGGCTCATCAGTACCACTCCGAGTCTCTATTACAGTGGTTCCCAATTGGTGGGTTGCGGTCCAAAAGTGGGTCACGGGTCCATTCTACATGGACCGCAAGTGACTTGCAAAAGTATCAAGATTGTAAAAACACACTTTATTTTGAAGCACAGTAAATTTCTGGCACAGAGCTTTAGTTTCAAAGTGCTGTTTCCTGCTGTAGAATGACTGACTCATGGACAGCTACTTAACAGAGACAACAAACTAGCTCGATGACATGGCCAAAACACAAGTATGACACTGACAGTATTAAACTGTGTGGACCTTGTAGTAATGACTCTGGACCCCGTGGCTGGACCAGCTGGGAACCACTGCTCTATTATACATTATCAAGTGTGTCTTCAACTGATGATTCACATACACTTTTATTTAGGATGTCATTTAAAACTGTTTATGCAGATTTCTTTGAACATGAACCCTCTGTTAACCCTGACATGACATGTGACATATCTGTGAAGACATTTGCAGGTTTGTGAGTTAAAAGACCATTTCAACATTATGTCCACATTATAACTCTTTTCCTGGGATTTCTCAGCATATTCAAAGTTTGATTTAAAACACAGAACTGTGGAATATGACTGATAAACTAATAATGATGACTTATTCATGTCATTATTTTATTGATTATTTGGTAACATGTCTCCATACAACAACAAAATCAATTCCCAGGATATACCAGCACCAGCTAAGGTAGGGGAGAAGAAGACTACAAGCTAGTAAACATGGATGCAAACAAAATAGGTTTAAAACATTAAAAAAAAAAAAAAGATGTTAACACTTTTATTAACCCTAAAAGTTACACACAATGTGTTCTGGGTGGGTAACACTGGATGTAAATCTAACTGCTGCTAGTTTTAGTGCCGTTCTCTGTCCATGGATCCACAGAAGACCAAGTCAAACTCTGTGTAGCTCCCACCCAGCTGAGAGCAGAGAAAACAGCAACACGCTACACCCAATTTGACTTCGCTCCTCACAAAGAACACATCATGGCCTCAGAGGATTGAGTTGTGTTTACACTATGACACCCTCCCATTTTCCCCCTCTCGTGTCAGCCGGCCATCCCTGCCTGTTTTAGCTGAGGACAGCTTGTTTTTCACTGTATATCCTCAGCCAGCAGCGTGGCTCCATCTCTCTCTCTGAGCCGAGATGAAAGCTTCAGGGTCAGACGTGTATATTTGACTGAGGGGGCAACCACTCAGAGCCAGTCAAGATAAAACAACACTGCCTTCCTCCCTCTGCCCTCCCTGCTCTCCTGCCTCCTCCTCCTCCTCCTCCTCCATCTATTCATCCTCTTCTCATTTCCTCAAACCCTCCTGTCCTCCCTTGCCATCTAAAGTCAGGTCAACTCAACTCAATCAAATACGGTTTATGGATGTACATGAGCAATAATTTTAGAGCATTAAAATAAAATAAACAATGAAAATAAGCTCAAAGACAATTTCAAACTTTCCACTATTGTATTATTCTAAGAAAGAGCAAGATTTTCTATACATGTACAACTACCTTATAAAGTGCTGTCTGATTATTTGAAATCTTTATATTCCCTCATCGTCACTGCATCTTGCAGCTTCAAGACACTTTATCAGTGGATGCGTTTACATGCAGCAGGGCAACAGACAAGCCACTCCACCCTCTTTCTTGCATTCATTGCTATCCCCACATAGCATCCTCTCACACCAGCATTTAAAACACCATCCAGCCACTGACTTTAAAAAGCAATAATGAATAAAATATGCATATTTTTAATATAACGTAAAACTGACTCAGGCAGAGGCGGCAGAGACTTGCAGTGACCAGTCAAGTGTCATCAGTCACTCAACACCTAAAGCAGGTCCACCCGTAATGGTTGCTGTATTGAATGAGTGATATTATTATTGGATCAATGTGTTGTATTTGCTATTGCATTACTTTTTAGCTTGTTTAATAGCTTCAAATGTACACATTTGAGCATGTGTGTAGTGTATGTTGTTCTTGGGTGTGTGTGGCTGGCTGTGTGCTGTTTTTGTTGTGTGTGTTATTGATTTTACTTAGTTGGCGGTAGAAAAAAATAAATGACAGCTGGATGGTAGATATTTATTAGTCCTTTTGTACATTTATCATGTACATTATGGCAATCATTAGATAAATAAACAGAGTAATAGCAACATCGACAACAACAACAACAACAACAACAGCCAACACCAGGAATCCAAACATCAATAACAGGGTGCCACATCATTATTATAGACCTATTCACCGCATATCGCGCTCTACATATCACAAGGTGTTCTGTTAGTTTTGTTCACAGTTTGTTCAGCAGTGCACTAGTGGTACAAATGATGTGCAAGCCTGGTTGGTTCTGAGGGATGGCGCCATAGATATATACACATAGATGCCGCACCCTGGCTTGTGGGCTGCGTCAATACCACCGCCATCTTGCCTAGGTGCTCTGACCGGTTCAGATCCGTGTCAGACTCGGCAAAAATGCCACATTTTTGCTCTGCATTTAGGTGTACGAAAGAGAGAAGTGTTAAAACCAAGCAGAAGGGAATAACATTCCACAGGTAAGAAGTTGTTTTACAATATTTTACTGTTACGAACATGTTTAATGAGATATATATCTCAAAAAGTGATCCTTCTTTTAAGCTAATCAAGTAAAGTAACTGTCCTGATCTGGTCCTAATGCCAAATTAAGCTAACGCTATGTCACACAGCTTAAAGAAAAAAGGTTAACATTTATATAATATTACTTATAAAATTATGATGCTTTGTCAAACAGCTATGTCGGTGTATGTGTTATTCCAAATTGTCAACTACCAGTTTCTTGGCACCAACGTGACATAACGCAGTATGTTAACTTGTGGCCTGAATTGTAACTACAAATTATGTGGAACTGCGTTTTTCTGACACACTTATTTTGTGTGTAGTTTCCCAAAAAACACAGATAGGAGACGGGCATGGGTAGCAGCAGTGAGGAGAAAGGACTTTGTCCCGAGTGACTCCTCAGTCATCTGCAGCTGTCACTTCAGACCTGAGGACTTCGACAGGACTGGACAGACTGTCCGTTTAAGGGACGGAGTGACTCCCTCTGTATTATATTTTTGTAAATATGACCTAATAATGTAAACAGTTCTGTGTCCAGGCTCCCATGAGCGCTTTGGTGTTATACATATGAGATTAAAGCAAAATTTTGTGTAAACATGCAGCTCTAAGTCATTTATTTTCACTTGTACAAAACCAACATTTGTTAATCAGAATGTGTAACTACACTGCAGCTCGGCACAACCCTGCTGATACACTATTTTTTGCACATTGTGTGACTTAAAATGTGAATAAACATTTATAATCAAAATTAATAATTAAATGACATCATGGTGGGCATTGTACATCTAGTAAGAAAAAAGAATATTTATTACATGGGGAAAGTTTAGTTTAAATGTGTTGTAGAACTATTACTGTTACTTTATCTACATAGGATCAAATATTTTGGTATGAAAAGCTGCATTTTTTATTTAACCAAGTATCCTGTATCATAACTACATGTCTGACGATTGTAACAAACCAAACCGCATGAAAATCGGTTGAGAATTCAGTGAGTAATGATGATTTTAATCATATATAGTCTCCTGCCTCAATAGACATACATGCATTAGGCAGCGTGGCTCCACCTGGGCAAGATGGCGGCCGTGTTGACGTATCGCTCCAATGACGAGTGCCGTTGAATGCAGCATCTACGTATATATATCTATGGGATGGCACCCTGTACTGTCTGCTGATGGTAACAGCTCGTAAATAAAGGATGTGAAACCTCTCCAGTAATCGCCGGCCCTGTCCTCACCACTCAGGACTCACAGGTCACTGTCATGCAGTCTGGCTGCTAGACGAATCGAAAACTAGCCTTTCAGCTAATACGGGTGCATTTACATTTCTTAAAATGTGGGTTAATGCACACTGTCCCCACTGTCTTAAACAGATAAATAAATAAAATAAATGTATTCATACTATATAATATGAATACTGAGGAGAGGATGGTGGTGGCTGAATGTGCCGCTGTTTCCGGGACAGAGAGAGCTTTAAAGTGCCTCCAACAGGTGTCAGAAACAAGCTGCTGGTGGTTGAAGGTGTTCCAGATCACCTGCAGGTTACACAGGAAGCAGCTGAGGAAAGTCCTGACAGAGAGATCGTCTCACAGCTGCTGCAGGAGCAGATTGTAGAGGAGTCAGTGAAGATGGTGCTACAGTCTGTCTGTCCTATACCATAACTCTGAGCTCATAAATCTCTCCACGGGACACACAGCTTCCTCTGTCCACGACTTATAGAGTTCAAACAGTCAAGTGGCTCTTGCCCTCATCGCACCCACGCACACAGACACTTATATGTACGCATGCAATCGGTTTACAATATGTACACAGACACATTCACTATATGCAAACGTATACAGCACAATACGCACACACATGTGCACACAATACACACACATCCCTTTGCAGCACATATGGAAAATGACACACACACTTACACACTCACAGTATACAGCAGAGGTCTGGGTCAAGTGCTATATGTGAAACAAACACTTCAGTTGAGAAGTACTAGCTGATAAGAGCTGAATGAAGCTCAGTGAGACTATATCTGTCGTGTGAGTGTGTGTGTGTGTGTGTGTGTGTATTATTGAGCAGATACCCGATATCTCTGTGGCACAGCGCTGTCATAACACTACACTGACCGCAGTTAGGTATATAAATGTCAAATAGTGGGTTGAATTAAAATGGCTGTGATTATGAGGTAACCCCTTGCGCATTTATAAGATGACATAAATACAATACATATACAAAAACAACAGAAATATCTGAATATAAAAAGGGACATTATAGAAAAAATCAAGTTACTCCATTGTATTGGACTGGGATCATTCTATGACATGTAAATGACTGCACATGTTAACCATGTTCTCCATCTTAGTTTTGGATGTTAGCATGTTAACATTTATTGATTAGCAACAAAGGTATAGCTGAGTCTGATGGGAATTTTCAGTAGTTTTGTGAGTGTTGGGGCATAAACCAAAATATCTTATCTTACTAAATAATGACGAAAGCTCTGTGACAAAAACTGTGTGTGTGTGTCTGTTCCACGTTTTTCTCCTCACTGACTTGGTCAATCCATGTGAAATTTGGCACAGTGGTAGAGGGTCATGGGAGGATGCGAATGAAGCAATATTACATCAATTGGCCAAAGGGGGGCGCTATAGCAACCGATTGAAATTGCAAACTTTGAATGGGCATATATCATGCCCCGTATGTCATAGAGACATGAAACTTTGCACAGAGATGCCTCTCCTCATGAGGAACACATTTGCCTCAAGAATCCTTAACTTCCGGTTATATAGATTTTCCGCCATTTTGAATTTTTTGAAAAACACTTCAAATGGATCTCTTCCTAGGAAGTTTGAGCGATCTGCATGAAACTGGGTGAACATAATCTAGGGACCAATATCTAAAGTTCCCTCTTGGCAAAAGTTGGAAAACTTACTAAAACTGAGCTTCTATAAGGCAATGAATATTGCGGAGGGCGTGGCTCATCACATAAAGGTGTATAACATCTCAAGGGTTTCACCCATCACCACGCAACTTTGTAGGCATATGACCACACATAATCTGAGGGGACCCCTCCATTATTGACCCCATCAAACAAAATGGGGGNCTGCCATATGGATTTTCACTAAACTTGGTAGATATGTAGAACAGGACGCCTCAAGGTGACTGGAGAAATTGAACTCTAATTGGCAACTGGGTGGCGCTATAACAACAGAAAAATGCTTAAAAATGGCTAAAATGCGACCGATCGCTGTGGCTCCCCCTGTGGCCCAATGTTGTTGGGTTTTTTTTTTTTTTTTGGTATGACTAAGTCATGGTATGGTATGCTGTACATAATCACAGAAACTGTCAGTGTGTCATTCTGTCAGTCCCACGTTTTTCTACTCACTGACGTGGTCAATCTATGTGAAACTGCATGTAGGCATTGAGGATTGGCATACAGTAGGTAGAAGGTGACAAAGCTACCAATGGGTATGGACTAGTTGGACAAATTAAACATCTGACCTGATTATAGCAGATAGATGAAGAGTTAAGGGATCATCAAAGTTGATAACCGTTCATCTTGAAAAGGATCATGGATGTCTGCACCAAATGTCATGACAAAAGTTGTCAAGACGTTTCACTCAGAACCACAAATGTCAGCTTGCTTGTTGCATAAAAGTAATGTCAGGGAATAAAAGCAGCAGGTAGAATTAATCTTCTTGGTACCATGAATGTAGTTAAAAAATGTCACAGCAATCTGGTTAATAATTGTTGAGATATTTCTGTTCGGACCAAAGATTGCCAATTCATGCAGCTAGCATGACTAAAAAGAATAGTTTAATAAATGTTAAACAACAGAGCCCTTAAAAGTTGTATTTTTAATGGTATTTTTAAATTAATTTTGTGTTTAACCAACTTTACACATTTTCAGATTTCTCTTCGAAAATAATAACTCAAAAAAATGGAGGCTAAACCCACCCAGTGTAACCTGAGATCAGCAGAAGACCAACAGGAAGAGAGAGTGTGAGGGACCACAGAGAGAAAACTAGTCTCAATGAATCCAAATCAGTCTCCCCTCCCAATCACGTACCAGATCCATCTTGTTGGGAAATTGCGCTGTTTGTAATTAATGCCCAATTAAACTTGACATGGTCGCCCCAAATCCCCTGTAAGGTAACAGATTAGTCTGCACAGCTGGTCCACATTGGCTGTGCTGAGGCGGCCTCTAGAGTTACCTTGTTAAGGTACATTCCCTTCCTCAATGATAGTATTTATGAGATTTGTTTCATCCCTCTCGGCCGCTGACGGACCCACAGAGAGAGAGACAGACAGAGAGGAGTGGGAAGCTTTAAAGACACACTGTGGTAACTTCACCATTTGATTACACCAGGGTAATCACTGACACGCTGTAAGCACACACTCACACACACGTAGAGGAGGAAAGAATCTGAGGAATCCATCTGCAGATGTATTCATCTGAGTGTGAATTAACTTCTTATTAACAACACATGCTGTTTGAGGAGAGAAACTGATTTCTCATTTTCTGCCACAGCGATGAAATGCAGTGATGGAATCTGTTATCTATGTGTGTGTGTGTGTGTGTGTGTGTGTGTGTGTGAATTTATTATTAAGTAAAGGTCTGAATGTGCTGTGTGCAGCTGGTGAAGCTCACTGCCATGCTGTTTGCTGTAGCATTAGGTGACCATACAGATGGCATGACACCACTCAGTGCGCTCATTTAACCCTCAAGTTGATTGATAATGTCAGCCCACTTTACATATCGAACAATAACCACACCATGAGAGGTTATAGATTTGTCAACCATATTAAAGCAGCCATGACGTTAATATCTCTGAGTGTGTTCGGACATTCAAATCAATTAGCAGGACTACTTCATGGTATTTTGGAGGATTTATTTTGCATCAGTGCAATGCTTGATCTCTCAGATAGTCGCCAGTTTTGCCAAAATCAGTCTGTCCTTTTGTGGGCAAAAATGTTTTTTCTTACATTTACAGAAAATTTCACTGATATTGTGATATGAAAAGACATATACAGTGACAGGGGATTTTTATCCATACTCCCTACCCTTGGCTCTGTTAATGGTTAATAAATCATGACCCCATTTAAAACTATGTCGGCTTGACACCTTATTTGTTTCAAATAAAAACAGTCTTTCCCCCATCATATGGCCGCTGGTTTAAATACATTTCCCTTCCCATATTTTACCAAGAGCACATAAGATTGTTTATCTTTTGATGACAAATATAAACAGATCATACCTTCCTCACTGGCTGAAAAAACTAACACACACACACACACATACACAAATAATAAAATGATGTATTAATGCTTTATAGTTCCTGAATCAGAGACAACTGTTGGATTGCCAGGTTGTAAAAATTAAAAAAAAAAAATCCCTCTGGTTGGTCTCCATTCTCCTCCGCCAAGACACCTGCCTTTTCTTCCTTTATTTAGCTCTTTAAAGAGCAGCCCTACAGCAGCTGCAAATCTTGTTTTCGCTGATCACTGGTGAATCTGAAATCTCCTCTTCCTTTAGTGTACTCCAGGGTGTGTCACGGTGACATCACTGCTGGGTGTGGTTACAGGTGAGACAAGGTCAGAGATA